TATTTTGGTTTTAACTCACTTTATTTTTAGATTTTACTTCAATTTACTTTTACTATTTTTACTGGTTGTTTGGTGCAGATAGCCTTGTTGCTTTGTGCCATAAAACACCAAGCAACCAAATGCCTTACAGCTTTTGAAAGTCAGATTTTTTTTAAAGTTTGAGATGTCACACTTATTTCAAAAGAACTTCATTTTAGTTACAGCTTTCAGCAGATATATTGCTTTATGTTGAATACATGTTTATGATAATTACTCTGCAATCATTTGGAAGATTAAAGGTGCATGTTTTGGCTATGCAAAATGTTTGGTTTATCAATAATTGATGTTTTCTTGTGAATTCCTTTAAAGATCCACACAACAAAAACATTGGTCTTGTTGAGCTTTGTTTTGTAAGCTGTTTTTAATTTCACATGTAGGTGACAAAGATATGGGTGAAGTTGATGTAGATGTTGAGGCAATGTTGGAGGCTCCATATAAAAAGGTGAGTTATCTCTTGATGTAATACATAGTTTCTTGAATTGAAATTTTATGTAATAAAGTCAGTTTCTTTCACTAACTTGTTGCCACAGTTAGATGTGATTCTAGAACAAAATTAAACTTAATGTCAAAGCTTAAATTTTGTTGCTTTTATTATGTACACAGTATTTACTAAATCATCTGACAACAGTTGGATGTCTCAGCAAAATGTGTTTGGTTCAGCATTAGCTACTGGATATACAGATGTCATTAAAAGGTTTGAAGTAAAGACTGGTGAAGTTAATGTTATATTTTGTACTTTTTATTGATATAATTAATCAAAAACTGTTTTATGTTAACCATTTAAAATCTACTCTTACAGTAGTTCTGTTAGTCTTAAAATAATACACAGAAAGCAGAAGCTTTTATAGATTAGTAATTAAAATGTATATCACAATCTTCCATAACTACATTCATTTAACATCTAAGATGCATTATTTTAGTCAAGGCTTCTTTTTTTATGCTGAGCTTGCTTATTTATCAGAATGAAAATATTCTTTCAATTTTATTTGACACTGAACTTTCTAGTAAGAAGTAAAATCTATCACATAATACTCTTTCCTTCACTTTATAACATACTTAGCCACCTGTAGGAAGTATTTTTATGTATTTTTAGTGAACTTTACATATGTTAAAATTTTAATAATTATCCTTATTTTGTTCGAATATGATTAGGGATGTCCCTATTAGTTATTTTGAAGTTCATTTGTTGTATTATGAAATTAATTAAGCAGAATTAGTTGATATTTCTAAATTTTCTGTTACATATATTTTCTGTCAAATCACTAAATTGTCAGGCTTAGGCTTAACACAATATGAGACAGATTATGGTCTAGCATGGAAATGAATTGGAAGGATTGTAATGAATTTGACTGCATTTTATGAAGTTTCAAAGGTGTTCACTGAAGGGATTACTTAATACAAGGAAAAGCAAATTACCCTATTAATTGGAATTGGACAATTATTAGTAACATTAATCAATAATTAGCTGATGTTTTCTTATTGGCTCATTCTCAACTTTTAATGATAAATAGTAGCTGTTAAACAGCTACTGTTATTATACAGTGTTATTCTACAGACTGGGAAAATTGGTTCTTATTAATTATTTTTGGATACATACACTTCAAAATAGTTTAGCACCTAATTGAAGTCAAATAAGGCTGATCTTGTTTTCTGCAATGTTATTACAAGAAAGGATATATTTAAGGCTTTTAGAACATGTTCAAATTATGTTGCTGTTTTCAAAGTTTTAAATTTGCTAAGTGTTATAAGAAACTGTTGAATTTAATTATTTTTAACATATACTTCTAATATCTAATGATCGTGAATTATTTGTACTAGAGCTAAGCAACAAACATAAGATTTGTAGGTTACCTGATTCATTGACAAGTAGTTGGGAAATTCAAATAATCTTATACTAAAATTAAACAAGAGGGAATCCTCAATAGCTGTAGCACTTGAAATTCTGTTAGGCAGGATTAGAGTAAGTTAATTTGTGAGAGCTTTGTTTCCATTTTTATTAGCTATATTTTTGTGTGCCAGCAATACCAAGCATTTTATTGATCATCAGGATATTTACCAGCCTACTTTCAAATTGAAATTCTTATAGGCAGGATTAGAATAAATTAATGTATTATACCTTGGGCATGGCCAAATGCATCAGTTGAAAGGGTGTGACTTCTTGAGTCCAAAACTGTAATTAGATCTGAAATCGGTGAAGAGATGGTGGAACTATGAGCTAAAAGTTTGTACATGAAAATAAAACAAAAATAAATGCAGAACTGTTCTATGAGCCACTCAACCATGGCTAAAAACCTGGAAGAGCAGGAAATATTAGTTAGGGTTAGTGGTTTTGATATTTTGTAATTTACGTTGCTTGAATAAGCGACAATGGAATTTATATTAATACAAAAGATAATTCTCAATAGCAGAGGCACTTGAAATTCTTTTAGGCAGGATTAGAGTAAATTAATCTATGAGATCTTTTTTTCCTTTTTATTAATCATATTTTTGTTGCACGAGCAATACTAGGTGTATACCCGATTCAATTGTATTACTTAGCAGGATCTCTACTAGCCTACCCTCAAATTTAAATTATTTTATGCAGGATTAGAATAAATTAATCTATGAGACCTAGGGCATGGTCCAATACATCAATGGAAAGGGTTTGACTTCCTGAGTTCAAACTGTATTAGATCTCAAGTTGGTCAAGAGATGACAGAGCTATGAGGTAAAAGTTTGTACTTGGGGGAAAAAAAAACCCTAACGAACTTGGAGCCCTTCCATGAGCCACTATGCCATGGCTAAAAAAATTTTATTTGTTTTTCATTTTGTTATTAAAGTAGTAAATGGGAAATTTAATAACTTGCTATAAGTTGTGTCACGTAGGAAAGATTAACTCGTCAAGATTTTATTCATAGCAAAAATCATGACTTTTTCATGTAACACTAACATTACTTGACTAAATAAAAGTGTGTGTGTAAGTTCAAATCTTAAAGGTCAAATTTCAACCATGACGGTGGCAATGAACAATTTATAATAAAAAGGCTATGAAGAAGAATCTTCATTGAATGTTTTAATAATATAATAATTTGGCCTAAGGCACATGGTCTTATCACTGAATCAGGATATATGAAAATGAGAGATTTCATTAAAATATAGTAATTCTGAATTGTATTACTTATGTATGTACAACAAAGTGATTCTTGAATTTATCATTTGAATTGAATGGCATCTAAAAGTAATTGGCAATGCACAGTATTCACATGTTAATAAATGTTTTTCTGTCAATTTTTTGTTAATGAAACAAATGACATACGAGACCTTGTTATTGAAATATTACTTGTAGAATAAAAACTTTGTTACTTAAACTTATAAATTAGTTTTTATTTTTGTTCATTATAAAATTGAACATTATCACATTTCTTACAATGTTCTGCTCTGTCTTGTAGACCCATCTTAATAAGCCTGGCTATTAATCTGTTATCAAATTCTACCCAGCCCTACCTATTTGTATTCATTTTCATAAATTTACACCAATTCTTAAATAACACCATACTAAAATATCTGAGGAGTTGTTCCCAAACCTACTGTATTTCAAATTTCTAAGCAACAACACAAAAATAATAAATCTAGAATACAGTCTACGTCCCAAAATACTACCTCTTACTTTCCAATAGTGTACAAAGGATGTTGACGTCAATGCAGTTACATTCAACGAATCAATTATTCCCACATGGGACTTGGATATTTGGAATAATTGAATATAGTAATAAATGGAAGCATACATTTTCTTCAATTACCCCAAAATAATATTGAGAAATCATAAAGGCAATATTTCGATTACTTAGTTGGAATTAGTTTGGATTAGTTGACTATTTTTTTGACGTTAATTGATTTAATCATGATTTTGATTAATCAGTTATTTCATAGGTAATCGATTATATCAATCAAGTTAATCACCCAGCTCTACAAATAGGTGTAATAACACTTCAATAACTTAACTTGGAGCTTTGAAGGATTGACAGTTACTTTACAAATTCCTTTGAAGCTATCTTGATGCTTTTTTTCTCATCTTATTTTATGATAAAATATTTTCAACAGCTCTATTCATTTCTTGTGTTTGTTATACTTCTTGAATGGTTAAGTAACTTTTCATAATTCATTCCAAAAACAATCATGAAATTAATAAAGTATTCTAATGTTATAGATTTTAGAATTCTTTTGTTAATTGGTAATTCATGAGAACTTTAAAAGTAGTGAAGGAATCTAGTGAGTTGAGTGGCTGTGTGTGTGTGATCTCATATCAAACATAGAAAATATGGCAGAGTAGTACTTTGATGCCAGTTTTAATATGTCATGAAGGTTTTGCTATTGAGATTTTTTGCAATAATTATCAGAAATCAGAAAAATTCTCTGAGGGTGCAATAATAATTCAAATGAAGGAACCATGTTCCTATTCATTATAAATACTGGTGATGTAGTTATGCATACACTGGGGCCTTGCTATAATGTGGCCCATAAGGTTTGTTTCTTGAGACCATGTTATAGGTGAAACCATATTATGAGTTCCTTTCAAAAGTGCCAAGACAGTAGACAGAATAATACAGAACTACAGATACACTGACTGAAATGACCTCATAAATGGATAAACTATTTGACCTGATGTAAACTGACTTCTGTTAACAAAATGAATGACGGGGAAATTTCATTGGCTGATTCTAAATCTAACTACATGTTTTATTATCAAAAATTTATTATTGAAATAACAATGAAGGTGTAACTGATAATACAACAGTTAATAAAAAACTTTTGAAAAAAGTTTTGTCAATTGTGGAGCATTTATACTTTAACAGTTTTTGACACAATTTGAAAAAGACTGGATATACCTTCTGAAAAAATATATTTAAATGAAAATTTGGGGTCTAAGAAGGACTCGTATTGTACCAAGTTCCCTGCTATAACAGGTTATGTAATAGCAGGGTCCCAGTATGTTTATTGCTTGAAGTATAGAGCATTATTCGTGATTGTTTTCTGTAAGTTAGTGCAAAAGACTATTTTCTTGTATTGTGTTCTCTTCTGTTGTTGAGTGGACTATTATTGTATTATTTGGTAAAAATAATGCCAAAATTAGTCCATGTAACATAAATTAATGTATTTCTTCGATAACATTTTTAACAAACTACGTTTACCTTGACACAAGTTGTAGGCCTAAGATCACAAGCAGAACTTCGATATAAACTGACAATACTTATTTATAAGCTTTTCAACACATTACAGACTGAGTAGAATGCAATAAGAACACTTTGAACATCTGCTAATAATATGTTTCTACAGTCACAAATTTTTTGAACAAAAAAGTCTTTTCTAGACATGACCAATGCTTCCCTAAACATAACACTCTCCAACTTCCAAGTTCTTACTAAGGGTGCTTGAGTGTGAAATTTTAATGAAAAAGTGGATATT